CTTCTCGACCGGCCCAGCAGACCGGTTTAGCTTTGTGTATATAATATCCCATATCACAGGTAGTTTTAGTTCTCTAAGCAGAAAGCTTGTCCATAAGACATCAGTGCTACAGTGAGCTAAACTCCTAATCGCGATGGATCTCGACTCCCGACGAGCTTCTCCACCGTCCGGTGACCATCTTCTGATCACGTTGTACTTCCGGCGGACTTGGCAGCCACGAGCCATGAAGCTTAACTTCAGGCTTTGTTCGATACCTTCAGTATTTCATGCCCGTAGACCGAGTACCGGTGACTGAAGAACTCGAGTTTCGACGGTAACAGACCCCAACCCGGGAGTACACCACTTGAGGACCGGTCCCGGCAAGGGGCAGCAGCTGCTCAACGTCCGACAACGGGCAGTCGATGACTCCCGAACAACGAAGCGAGGGCAGTTCCCATCACAAAGAAAGCTGAGAACATCGAGCCCGTTCACCGTGTTCCGTCGGCGAGCCAAACGTAGTTGTCGAGCCCCCTCGTGCAGGCCGTTTCAGCCCCGGTTCGACCCTTTTGTGTGTCTCCGTCCCGAGAACTGTACACAGACTGAGAATCCCTTTCGTTTTTGATGAATATATATGTACTCTTGTGATGCTTTAGTATATTACATAATTAAGGTTATATTTAATTTTTTATATGTTGTGATCTCTTTGGTTTTGTGAAATCATGTGAGGTCTCGTTTAATTCGTGTAAGTGATACGGAAAATGGAACATATGTGAGTCCTTGGCCTTTTGGCGAAGGCCTTGGACGAGTTGGTTGAGTTTTGAGTCGTTTATGGATTTTTCGAACTGTATAGTTGCTGAATATTAGTTAAATTTATATTAAATCGCATGCTGCTCCGAATGATGTAAAATTTTATATGCGATGTCCCGTGATGGTTTTGTAAGTCATGTAAAATTTTCATAATTTAATTCCATCTGTAGCTATTTTTAATAATTGTTTTGATTTCTGAGCAGAATCGTATAAATTGTATATAAAATCGAATTGTGCTCTAAAATGACTGAAATTTAAATATGTTATTCCTATGTCATATTTGGATGTTGTGAATAAATTCCATAATTTTTGGACGTCGTTTGTTAGGGTAATTAATTGTTTGTGTATTTCTATTTGAAACTCGTTTTAATTATGAAAAATTGCCCTGATGATGTAAATTGCTGAAATTTTGTGTGCATGCTCTTTTTATGTTGTATTACTTGGCATAATTTGTTCATTATGATATGTTTGTAATTAAAATGATTTTGCTGCTTAATATTGTCATAGTTTTCATAATTCGTGTGTTTAATGTTTAAAGCTGAATTTTTATATGTTGATCCTTGCATGTTGTAGTTGCTTGAGTAAAAATTTCAAGTGTTAACTCGTTCATTAGGTCAGGATTTGAAATTATGCTCGTTTTTGTTGAAAACTTGAGTTAATTTTAGAAAATTGGATATTTTGAGTTAAGGGCTGAAACTTGGTGATATTGGTATGTTCATATAGGAGAATTTTGTGTTAAAACTGAGAGCCAAACTCATTCGTTAGCCTGACCAACTTAAATTGGTGTGTTTTGCCCATAATTGGTTTCAAGTCGAGTCCAAGTGTTCTAATGTCCACAGAACTTCACGAACGACTTAGTTGAATCAAGTTCGACTAAGTATGATTTGTATCTTTCTTCTAAAGTCAAGATAAATATTGATCTTAGTATCTTGACTTATTGTAGGTGCTTGACGAGTCGAGCTCGTCGCCTACCCCAGTTTGTGTGATAATATCTCTTGCTCTTCCAGGTGGGTTTTATTTGAAAATTGGCTATGCTCGTAAATGTTATTGTTATTATTTTTTTACTTGTGGTGTGATCAAAGTATGCATGTGGAACATGTAGCCTTCGATGTGAGTTGTACCGACAGTCGAACGGTTATCTCCGTAGCTATATAAAGTACCCGTTGGGTAGTCTCCCTTGAAAGCCGTAAGACAAAGGATTAGGTCCCTCAGCTGGTGATCCTCATTGGTAAGACCATAGACTACTGCCGGTGGGGTGGTTTACTCCTACTGGCTGGCACTCGATGTAGGACCAGAGGGCATTCGATATATAGTCAGCAGTAGTCTATGTGTAG